TTGATTTTTCCATTGTAAAGTGCTTGGTATGTAGAAGTAGAGTGTGATATATATTGAGATGGGAAAAAAAGAGATTATACTTTCATTTCTACAAGCCTGTTTTATGCTTACTCACTCGATCATCAGAGGATTTTATAGCAAAATACCCTGATGAGTGGGCAAACAGTCTTGTGGGGATGAAAGTATAATCTCTTTGATTTTTCCCTATCTCATTATATACTCAATACATACTCAATATATATATATATGTAAAGTGTAAAATTTTGACTTTCGTAAAACAGTGCTCAATACATAAGAGTAGAGTGATGTACATATTGTGTGAGGAAAAAGACAAATACACTACAAGTTCATCCCTTGAATCGATGAACTTGTAGTTTATTTGCCTTTTTCCTCCAACAATATATATATATATATATACATATGCATATACATATATAGACATATATGTTCACACCCACACATATACATACACATATATACATATATATATATAGATATATATATGTATATATATACATATATAAACATATATTTATATATGTATACATATATTTATATATGTATACATATATTTATATATGTATACAAACACATTAAGTGAGGCGGATTTCATCTCCTTCTTTTCTAGCGAGAAGTCTACCTCTTAGAGACCTTTGCTGTACTACATGTGGCGGAAACTGTGAACCAGACTGTATTCTACCTAATACTCACTGCATTGTTGTCTCCCTTCGAGGTATTGACTGATATGTATTTTCATGAGACATTCCTGTAATATTAATTGCATGGAATTTAAAGAAATATTTCTGCAATGAATATGTTTGTGATACAATGTGCAATAACCAGTTTGCCCTTCTCAACAGACTATATAATTGTACAGTATATATTTCCAAAATTTCAGGTCGGTTTGATGTAAACCATAGAAGATATAAGTGCCTCCAGTGTGGGAAAATGCTTTGCACCTCAGAACCAGTTGTCATCATCCAGTCTGGCTTTTGGCCAGGGAGTATCAAAGATATGACGTATGTCTTTGATAAGGAGCTTTTCTTATTCTGGGACATTCTTCAGAAGCAGCTCCCAGGAGTGTCTGAAGGTGCATTTCTCAAGTCACTTGAGCTCTTTTCAAAGCGGAAAGGACGTGTGAGTATCTTTATCACAGGACAGCCCTTCAACATCTAATTCTGGTTTGGAAGTTTGGTAAAGAGGAGAACAGCTTGTGGAAAATGTTGTCACTTTTAAACATATGATATTAATTAGCACTGCTAATACTATAAACAAATCTTCAAGTTAGACTTTCAAAGAGCATAACCTATGTTAGTATCATTAGTTTTATAACACCTCAGCATATTGATAGGTTCCACGATCATTGTTAAAATTTTCATTCCCATAAGTGAATAAAAGCCCTGTTGATGTTAAGCAAACTTAACTTTATCACATTTTTTACTGTAGTATGTTGTAACAGAGGAAACGTGGATGTTTGTTTACTGTTTACAGGTTGCAACTGTTAATGCCACAGCTTTCAGAGTGTCATTTAAGGAGTGGAAATATTGTCAATTTGAACTCGATAAATTACGGTGCATTGACTGGATGGAGTGCCCATCATGTAGCCAACATCAGCACTCTGTTCATGTTGATGGGAACATGAAACTTTACCGTTTTAAATCTGCAGGGATGTAAGTTCTAGATATTAATTTCATAAGTGTTCTTTGTGCTAAATTTGAAACTCAAAGACAATTTCTTTCTGCGTAGGTTATAAGTTTCATTGTTAATCAACTGCAATATTTGGGTAGTTGGCTCATTCTACGGTCAACCTCAGTTGGAGTTGTGCAATGAAATCATCATTAGCAATAAGGTTTCAGTATTACCATCATTCTCAAGTTGTAAATCATCCTAACTTTTTTCAGAATTAATCTCTGAACAGTGTTTTATCAAAGCTTATGTGGTTAAAAAATACATATGTTTTTTGAGGGATCAATACTTATCAAAATTCACACATGATTGTAAAGTACTAGTAGGTAACACTACTGAAGAAACTTTTGAAGAAAGTTTGGACATAAGAAGAGCCTGTACCACTATCATACACTCATCTTAACACTGGAGTGCATGTAGAAGACTTGGTTATGTATTAGGTTATTAAAGAATACATATTTACATTTGTATTCAGAAGGAAAAGAGAGTGTTACTATGGAGAAACCTTTGTGGTCTCAAATGAGAAAGTTGATAGTCACATTCATAAGGTCTATCAAGGTTCAAAGCAAAGGGTAAGAGCATGTGTAATCATTAAGTGTTTACTGGATTTAAAAGGGTACATGCAACATTCCTAGTTTCTGAGGCAATGTTTTGTGATACAACTTAAGACAAGGTACAATCAAAGATATTGTAGTTAACATGTGGAAATGATGATCATTGTCAATTCAGAAACATTCTATGGTTTGATTCAGTGTCCATTATTGTAAGGCAAAGACTTGTCAATATACTTAATTCTCTGCTCACAGAGCAATCAATGCTAAGGTAGTATCATGTAGCAATATTATTAGACTGCATCTCTTGAAACCTGCCTTTTGCTATTAAAACACTGGCAAACATTCCTATCAAGCAATAGGATGTTTAGACACATGTTACTAAATTACAACTTGTTGATTTTTCAACAAGCATCAGTTATCTATACACTGTACATGTGGATGTACATTATTTTTAATCCAAAAATCAGATGAGCAGGGAAAGTGTGGAGACTCAAACTGGCGAGCAGCAGGAAATACAGTTAAAAAAAGAAAGAATCTGGATGAGTGTGGTCTGGAGATTTCTGGATGTAGGCATGGCTTGGCGCAACATGCCATCAACATGATGTATGGGGAAGTTTATGGATATGCCCATTATCTCCAGGTGAACTACTACATTCCCAAGAATGTGGAGTTCTTCTGGTATGATGTCATCTGCAAGTACTGGCCGTGGTTAAAAAAGAATGATCCAGCAACTTCCAAGAAAATGAGTCCAGCATTGTCAGTTATGCATGCAAAAGCTCATGATTGGTCTTGTCAGGTACTGGTATGATTATGTCCAATTTTGCTTGCATATGAATTCTTTTGCATGGATACAGTTTGGTTTTGTTTCAATCATGAAATTTTTTATGTGTTCTGATGGCATTCCATGTATATCAATAAGTGTAATTTTCACGTAGGTCTTGTGGGGTGGTCGTTGGCAGAGTGGGGCAGCTGCAACTACTGGGGAGGAGGTTGAGCACATCAATAGCCATTTCTCAAGATTAGGCTCTTCCACAAAGCATATGCTTCCTGAAGGTACATCACCCAATTTTCCATCCACAAAATGGTGTCAACAGCTAGAGGATGCTAAATGTATGTTCTGTTACAAACTCCTATTAGCAAAGGTACAAGGTGACACACCACAAGGTTTATTCCCAGTGCAATTTACTACCCTGTATCCAAGGAACCAAAACAGCATGATAACAGCAATTTTGAAAAAAGTTGAAAATGCTGTATTGGCTAAGGTTTCTTATAAAAATTTTTCATAAATGGTTAGAACCTGGAATGGTTGTATTGTAGCCGATTAGTCTGAAGTTTTCTTTTCATTTTCAATCTTACAGGTAGGGAGGAACTGCTCACTGAACATTCTTTTCATTGGAACAGACGGAAAATTGAGAGACTTCCTGGCTCACTTGCAAAACGATACGCAACAGTATAAAGTGCATTTCATTTGCTATAAAGATATTAGTGTTGTGTTTGTTCTTCCACTCATTTGGTTCTTGGTTATGAAATAGGGAAAACAATGACAGTCTATAATTGTCAATTTCGACTTGTGACCCTTCTGCTTTTCTGGTTTCAGGCAGAGAATCAGCTCAAGCAGGTGAACAAAGAGATAGAAGAGCTGTTGAAAAATCCTCAAATGAATCAAACAGATGTGTGCCTAGAAAGTTGGAAATCCGATGTTTGTCAGGCCGCAAAAGGTCAGTTATACACTACTGATATAATTTACCAATTTTTTTCTATGTTTATCACTGATCTGATTGTTGCTGAATTTACCTGCATGACATTCTGAAAATATTTTTCCATCCCAGGAAATTTTGCTAAGACAGTTTGGCTTCTGGACAATTCTTCAAATAGTTAAAAAAAGATGGTGGCAAGCATAACCATATGATGTTTGCATCTCTTATGTCCCTTTAAGCCTATTGCCTCTCAAAACAGAGGAGAAATGGAGAATAAACACCGTTCATAAATGTAGATCTATGCATAATTTGGTGTACCCTAACTGCTTGTAATATGTAACAGGTTTTTAACAGTTTTTGTTTGTTTGTCTATTTTCAAATTTGA